TCAGAACTCAAGCTGGTTTTAGCTCTTCTTGTGCCATTCTATTCTCTTGCGACCCATTTTTGACTCTCCACAAATTTAAAGGGATAATCCAGATGTGGACCCCTTGCTCACTGTGCCTAGAGAGATATCAGCTATGCCTCACTGATGATGCCTAACAAGGCTGAAACTATCATCTGGGGTTGCTGTATCTCTCGTGCAGAGAGAACTTGCTGGTATTTCGGATCTGGTCTGCCCGTATGGGTGGGACCAGTCTGATATGCTTCAGATATGTTCTCTCTGTAATGGCACAAGATGAGCTAAAACCAGCTTGAGTTCTGAGCAGGGACCCACCGAAAGGCAGGATATTTTAGCTGCTGTCTGTTCTCCAAGAGACAAATAATGGTGCAGTACAATTGGTGAAAATTGGAAAGAATAGTGATGGGCAAATTGCACAGTGTCTAGAGCTGTCTCAGCTCTATTTAGAAAGCATGGACGGAATAATCCCTGTCTGTGGATATAAGTGGAGGGCCTTTAGGGCTTGGATTCAGAGTTATGCAGGCATCATGTAAAAGAAACACAAGGGAAAATCCAAAGGTATAGTATGTATATGTAAATGGTATTTTGGAGGAAAATATCTTACTTAACCCAGAGCAATGGCCTGCTCTGGTGTGAAGAGCGTGAGGTGGAACAATCCCCACCTATGGATATATGGAGGAACCAGAGGGATGATGAAGGCTGTATGAAGGATGTACTCCACAGGTAAGTATATAAAAATATATTACTTTATTTTATAAAAAAGCTGGAATCAGCAGCTACATTAATAATAACAAAGATGTATAACAAAAAACAAACTGTGGGTATAGGAGTCCATACTTGACGTGTTTCGCCATAGCTTTCTCAAAAGTGGATGGTGTCCTGTTGCCAAATGGCTTTTGATATGTTCCTGGGTAGCAATATAGCGAGTTCCGGTCTTCATACAGCAATTTACGGTATTCAGAAGGTTGATGACATCAGTTCCAGTTCCTGGATTAAAGGTTATGGGACACCACAGGAAGTGATGTATATGGAAGTCTTTTTAGCGCCATTTTGGTGAAGGGCAATAGTCCATTTTATATGCAATTATGCCGAAAGGGGGGAAATCGCGACTATTGAAGAGAACTATGTTTAGTACATATGCCATACAATAAAAAAAAAAAAAAAAAAACTATTATTTGGGCTCAAAGTGTGAAATCATTTCAGTAGATAAATAGTTGTATAAGTAAAAAGACAGAATGTGTGCAATATTATGGGGCTACTGGCTGAATATATTTTAGATGATAAAACATACGAGCAATGTATAAAGGGGCTAACTAATACAACAACAATTTGCAACATTCCATTTTTGTATCCATATATAGTGTATATATTATGGACAAAGTGAACCATGGATAGCATCTTTAATTTTTCAAATAACATTCTATTTTTTTAAAGTGCATACATTATGGATCTAAAACGAACCATGCATTTGGGTGGGGAATCAGAACATGATTAAATAATGCAAAAGTGCATGCAGATACATAAAAAAAATTCTTTATAAAAAATGTATTAAATCAAATTCTATATTTAGACCTTTTGGGTATAAAGTATCAAGACGATACAACCATTCCATTTCAGGTTTTCCTAAGTTTTTAATGGCATTTCCACCTCTCCAATGTTATATGTATTTGGCAATGCCTATAAATTTTAATTGGCTAGGATCTTGGTTGTGTTGGATAAAGTTAGCAGAAACAGAATGATTTTGTATAGCCTTTTTCAATATTTTGGCAGTGTTCTGCTATTCTAATTTTAAGTTGTCTGGTTGTTCTGCCTACATATTGGCGTCTGCATGGACATTCCAATTAATATATAATGGATTTACTGTTACATGTGATAATGTCTTTTAAACTAAAGGATTTTTTTGTGTTGTTTGACATAAAATGTGATCTACGTTTCTCTTTTTTGTTTTTTCCAAGCTATGCAGGTATTGCATTTGAAGAAAACTTTATTCTTTTTAAAAATTATTTTTATTTTACGCTCAGGCGCCCACTCTTCCCCTGTAATCTGCATGTTAATCTGTGTGTGCCGTGCAGAGCTGGCTGAGGCGCTGGGAGCGGAGGAATTGTATTTATTAGAAAATATTTGCAGAAGCAGACTCTGAGAACAACTGTCAAACTGTCGAGGGATGATGTAGCGGGCGGAATTAAGGACGTTGCGTGTGCATGGCTGAGGCGCGTTTGAACTAGACGGAGAGCGGCGGCTTCAAGATCGGAGTTCTCTGTTCAACTAGCGATGGGTGCGAGGCAACAGAACACGAAGGAGTCTTACCACAAGTGGGGAGCCCTGAAGTCGAGTGGCGAGATCATGGTAGATTAGATCGTGGTTGAGTCCGCAATTTGCAATCTGCATTTTCAATGCGGACCAATTTAGCGGTTACTTGGAGGTTCCTTGGCGTTGGACGGGTGACAAAGCACCAAAGCTAAGTTCAAATTAAATCTAAAATAACTAAACGTAGTGATAACAGAACTGGAGGTAGTGTAAAGTACCCCCCAGAAATAAAGTGTTTTCCTAAAAGGAGATAAAATAAGGGAGGAGGAAGGAGAGATCTGTTGAATGGACAGATAATAGACAGATAATAATTAAAGAAAAATAAGAAACAAGTAATCAAGGAGGAACTTAACTAAGATTCAAATATAAGGGAGAAGGTAACATAATATAATATAATATAATAAAAAGGAAAAAAGCGAAGGAGAGAAAAAAATGGGGAAAAAAGAAAGAAAAAAAAAAAGAGGGGGAAAAGGGGAATATAGCTCACAAGAAGGACTAACCATCTGAATCAGATAAACTAGAAAAATCTTCTAATGCACCAGTAAAACACTCAAGAACCTCTCTCTCTCCAGACCTCTAGTCAACACAGAAACAGAAAGTATAACAGCACAAAAAACATGCTCACAAAAAAAAGCATGATGTAGCGTTAGATAATTCATACGTAAAAATTAAACACGATAAAAAATGAAGTGAATTAAGAAATGAAGTAATAGAATTAAAAGAAAAATTAGAAACACAAAATCAAAGCTTCATAAAGCTATAGGAGGAAATTCAAACGCTCTACATACAAAATAACAATGAAAAACAAACAAAAACTAACAGATCTAGAGGATAGATCGAGAAGAAACAGTGTGAGCATTAAAGGCATACCAGAGGATATCAACCACGAAAACATGGAAAATTACCTCAATGAATACATGGCTCAGTTCCTTAAAAACAAAACAAAACAAAAAAAACAACATAAAGATCCATACCCCTTTGAAAGAGGGCATAGGCCACGAAAACCGATAGTTATCAACTAAATTCGTTTTATGAACTGCCTTATTAAAGACAAATTGGTACAGAAGATCAGATATCAGAGACCCAAGGAAGAAAAATTTCACAGATTATCTACATATCCAGATCTATCAGCCGCTACACGGCAATCCAGAAAGAAATTCCAAGATATAACTGCACAACTACGGAAAAATAATCTACTGTATAGATGGGGATTTCCCACCAAATTAATAGTCCCTCATAAGGGAAGGGTTTTAATTATTACAGATGCATCAGAAGATCTGGGAAAATTAGGAAAATATGAAAACTGAAGACGGCTGCAAAGAAATTTCCCCACCCCCTGCCCCCTTTCCACTCCCTCTCGTGTTTCCCATTATGGTATAATTTTTTAAGGACAATTAAATAATATGTACTAAAATATAACAGATATATTAAGTAAACTGAATTTAAGGATAACATATGAGGCACGGGGAGGAAATATTCATTCGGTAGAACACAAATTCTGATTCACAAAACTAAAGAGAAAGAAAGAGGGATGAGGTAAATCAAGTAACTCCGCAAGTATCACATCCCTAAGGGGAATAATATTCTAGCACTAAGATATTATGTAGATACACTATAAAAATATAAAACTCAACTTTTCAACAGCAACAAGAGATAACTGTATATTTAATCACACAAGAAGTATGGGAAGAAACAGGGAGCATAAGAGTGACAGAGAAGAGACACTAATCATGGTTCACGTTAGAGGTGTTAAATGGGTAATATAATTTTCCTTTTAAAGAGAAACAAATAGGGAAAGAAATATAAAGAAGAAAAGGAAATAAAGAAGTAGGGAAGGGAGGGAAGATGAATGAAAAAGTAGCGGAAACAGTTTGCTGGGTTTTTTCTTGCCTGTCTCCCCCAGCCATGCCAGTAACTGTGTTCTAGCTAGTAATTTGTTAGTGGAATAGCTAGACAATGTTGGTTCTAGTGGATCATGGTCCACGGATTAATCTAAGAAAGGGGCCTGACCTTATTTCAAAACGACAATGGTATTTTGGAGAAAACACAACTAGTAAAAAACTAAGAAACTAAAATAAAAAAAAAAAAGACAACTAACTGTTAAAATAATAAAACACACTGATAAAGAATATCTATCTCCAATGATATAGGAAAAGCAGTTGGACATTATTATAAAACATTGTATAACCTCCCAAAGACCACAATCACTACCGAAGATAGAGAGACATTTAGTTTTATTAGAATTCTTTTTTTTTGGATGTGCTGTGTTGAAACAAGTAGATCAATAATGCCACAACAGCATAACACGTTTCAGATGAGGTAGTATGACAGTGGTATTAAGCAGAACAATTTTATAAAACATGAGTATACATATTTCAGCTGGTGGGAGCACTGTTGCAAACAGGAGAGGTTACTACACTGAAAGATAGCATTGTCAAATGAGTGGTGGTCAGTGGAGGGTGTAAGTACAGTGTTGAGAGCTTGAGTTAGTAGATTTATAGTATGCGCTCACTATCATGGGCCATCTATCAGAGGTTTACAACTCTGTGTGTTATGAGTGTAGAGCGTATTAGAGTAGCATGCCTTGTTTAGTAGCTTGATGTTGTCTGGAGATGATGCAGATAGGCTTTGCATCTGTGGGTGCCCCTTACCAAAAGGGGCTGTGGGGGGGAGGGGAGAGGTAGACTGGTGGTCTACATGTTCTCCCTGGGGTTATGCCTGTTGCGGCTTGGCTTTCCTGGTTGCAACTCATGTTGTGTTCTGAGTCTTCTACCTTTGGGGTGAGCACTCATCCCCCAAAGGCTCTTGGGGAGCTCCGAAGGGGGAGTGTGTATGCATGAGCTAAGCTGGACCAACAAACAAAAAAAAAAATCAGAAACCAAACAAAACATAACCAGAAAAGAGACATGAGAAGAATTGGTAGAGCAACTGGAGTCTCATCTGCGTTTGGCTGCCATCAGGTGTCTGGTCTATTGTCCTCTCTTGTTCTTGGGACAGAGGGCGTGACTTTAGAAGAGTCCCACACCTTGCCAGGTGTAGCACCCGCTGAGCAGGTCTGTGCCTCCGTCAGTCCCAGTGTGGATAGGAATTTAGGAGCTTCTGCCAGTGAGGTAAATGATAGGGTGGTCCCATTGTGGGTTACGTGTAGGATTCCAGGTGTTTCCCAACGATAGGTGATGCCTGCTTCCCTCAATTGTTGTGTGACTGGCGTGAGCGACTTGCGCCAATGCAGGGTCATTCTTGTCAAGTCCTGATAAATGGTGAGGTGGGCGTCCTCGAATAATAGAGGCGTTTTGCCCCTCAGGGCCGCCATAATTTGTCCCTTATCTTGTAATGTCACGCACCGAAGAATTACATCTTTAGCAGGGTGTGGTGCTGGCCTGTTTGGTCTGGGGAGTCTAAGAGTGACATCAATAGCAAATTTTCTTACAGTTGTCGGAGGCAAGATTGTCGCCAGCATTCTCCTTACGAAGTGTGGCAATTCTTTCACTGAGACAGCGGTTGGTACTCCGTGGATTTTGATGTTTTGCCGTCTGTACCGGTCCTCTATGGCTGTGATTTGCAGAGACAGTGCTTGATGCGATTGTGTGAGTTCTTGTACATTAGATAGACCGACTTGTATGTCAGAGATGTCTTCTTCGTTTGCACGTACTCTGTCAGTGGTCTTCTGTATGTCTGATCGAAGGACAGCCAACTCAGCCGCTAGTATCTTGTGGAAGTCGTGCAGCAAGAGTTTGAGGTCATGTTTGGTTGCCGGGGTCATAGAGTCCAGCGTCTCCGTGGGAGTGGGAGACCCTGAGTGTAAGTTGGCCCGCTCACCTTGTTGGTGGTGCTCTTTGCAGCATCGGGTGCCTTGGTACGAGGACCCTCTGTAGGCGTCATCTTGGGCCGTGCTGGTTTTTCGAGCAGTGCTTCGATGTCACGGTGATCAGTCTGGGTGTTCGTTTCTGGAAATGACTTCCCGTTGCTGGCATTTGTGCAGGGAGGTCTGGCTGTGTTGTTGTGTAGGGGTCTGGTTCTTCGGCCCCGTAGGCACTGCAGAGTAGCGACTCCCAATCTGGCTGCGTTCGTGTGGTATAGGCCCCAGGCCTGCGTCTTCGCTTAAACGTTGTAGGTGTTGCAAATAAGGGCATCAGTCGATGCAGCAGGAGCCCCTTAGTCTTTTGAGGGATTTGAGAGTACTGGATTGTGCGAGATGAGTTTTATTTGGAGGAGATTAGGTAAGATTTTCAGGAGTCGTTTGAAACTAAAACTGTAAACTACAAAAAATTAAATGCAGAACAGACTAGGGAATTGGAATATCCCATTTCCATAATAGAGATTACTAAAGCCATAAAAACACTTCAAAAAGGGAAAGATGGCCTTATTGATGCATTTTATAAAATATTCCTAGTACTCATAACGTCTCTGTTATTCAAACTATTCAATGAAGTAAGAGATCAGAAATCTTTCCTTAAGGAAATGTTGCAGACATTGATCATAGCAAGACCACCATTTTGTATCAAATTATAGACCCATATCATTATTAAACATCGATGTAAATATATTCTCCAGGATATTGGCCGATAGATTAAAAAAAATTATACGGAGTCTAATCCATCCAGACAGAGCTGGGTTTATAATAGGTAGGAAAGGAGCCCACAATGTACGTAGACTTTTAAATCTGATTCAATTAATAGAGATTAATAATGTTCCATCAGTATTTATGGCTCTGGATGCAGAGAAGGCCTTCGACAGAGTAAACTGGCTATTGAGGGCCATGAAGTCATATGGAATTCAGGGACAAATGATCTAATTTGGTGTTTGTACACGACCCCATCGGTCAAGGTTATGGGCAGTGATATTTCATCTGAAGGGTTTGAATAAATAACAGGAAACGGCAGGGATGCCCATTAGCACCACTATTATATGCATCAGTTATAGAACCACTAGCCTCAGCTTTTAGAGTAGAGGATAAAATCAAAGGGATCCCAATGGCTGGCAAACAAGTTTAGGTTTTATTATATGCGGACAATATAATTTTAACATCAACTGAAATAGAGGAGTCATTAAAAGTAATCTTGGAAATTATTGGAAAATATGGAATCTCTAATTATAAAATTAACATTAAAAAAACACAGGCAATATACACCAGTTTACGAGAACAACAAGTCCTCTCTCTAAAGTTCCAAAGAATAT